TTACGTATTGCTACATGAATAGAATGTTGCAGAAGGCATATGGTGAGCATTCCTATATCGGAAAGAAATGTTTAGAAGTGGTATAAACAGTTCAAAGAAGGCAAAGAACGCGTTGAAGACGAAGAGCCTCCCGGTTTGACTCAATATCCAATCTTCAATCGACGAGGCTCGCTTTTCCAAAACATTAAAGATTTGGTGCTTGCAAACCGTCGATTTACAATTAGAGACCTTGCTTATGATATTGGAATTTTTAAAAGGATCGGTCAATTCTATTTTTGGGCCTCAAACGCGTCAAATCTCGATTGTTACCGAAAACACTGAATGCACCAGCTCACACTGCATTGATTCTTAGCGACTGTTTCGCCAAAAATGAAACCCATATCGTTCCACAACCACCGTATTCACACCCCAAGTGCGACTTCTGGCTATTCTAAATTCAACTCCCTGCCAGGGCGCTTAATATGCCGAATATGGTTTATAAATTCGTAAGTGGTATATTAAATTGGTGAAATATTCAGTTAAATTCGAAGAGGAGACGAATGTTCATCATATTCCATCTTCGAGGATGTTCGTTCGAAATTTTGGTGCATATTATCGATGCCTCCGTGTTTGCATCCTGGTAACGCTGAATCCTTTTATGGTCGAGAATGATCACTGGTTAAAGTGTCTGTTATTTGAATACTCTATATATTTATCGTTTAAGGACTAAGAATCGGTTTGGATTGTCGCTCTACGATCATCTTGTGCACACTCTAGGCTAAACAGACCGGGACCTACTATTTAAAGGGGATTTCGAACCACTACAAACATCCATGGCAAAGCCGGAACTCGAACCCGAAAATGTGGTACCGGCCAGAGCACTAGCCGCTCGGCCATCAAGCCCTCAGTTTTAGTGATATGAGTCAATTTACAAATAATAATCTGTGTTAACAGCAACAACAACCAGATAAGGTAATTTTCCTTTATGTAAAGTATGTTGATGTACTCGGTTCTCGTTAGATCACCGAAGCATCATTGGGCGCAGTCAGTACTAGGGTGGGTGACCACCTGGGAACACCGCGTGCCGTTGGCATTCAAATTTGGGACCTGAATGACCGAGTGTCTAGCGCTCTGGCGCTCGGTGCCACAGGTTTCGGGTTCGAACCCGGCGGTGCCATGGATGTTTGTAGTGGTTCGAATCCATTTTAAGCCGTAGGTCCCTGTCTCCTATGACTGTAAGAGCGTCACGGAGCCAAAGTCAGACTTTCTACCTACTGGGTGCTCCATCACAACAGAAGCTGCTTCCTTCCTCTTGAAACATGAGTACGTATGGGCTCGTGGGCTTCCAACCAAGTGGGATAAGAAACAACAACAACAATGTTGATGTATGTTGAATGTTGTTTACGCTAAAGTATGTTGCTGTGTATGTAAAGTATGTATGTTATAGCTATTTCCACGCGTAAGGAATACAATAATTCCACCTTTACCTTGTAGTAGTCATCGTTATCTAGTCACAATGCAACGTCCTATCATGTCGATCACCTTTAATGTAAGTCACGACTCAGGGTTCCCTGTTTGACTTTGACGACTGTGACCCAATGTCCCCTTCATGTTTTGTTCGAAGCATTCGCTATCATACATTACTCGCGTAACAATAGCTTTCGGTCTCTCCTATTATTGCAACACACAATACCCCACCTCAAAATAGAGGCACGCATATCAGAACATCGGGTATTAAATAATACTTACTAACGATCTAGCATGTTGCAAATGGTTAGTGTGGATTTAGAATGGTATCTCTCTTCATATGGAAAATATAGAGACATTTATTGATGAATTGTGTATTTTCCTAAGTATTGTTCAGTAAATAGATGAGAATTTTTTTATTTAGTTTATAAATTATTATCACAATGAATCGTTTTGAATAATAATTCTAAATTAGTAATTTATTACAAATATTGGATTTAGTTTATAATGTGGACGACTTGGGAAAAAATCGCAATCGTTTAAACGAACAATTCATCGTGACGAAAGTAAGATAAATGGCTTTATGTCCAAGTGAGTAGAGTTCTGGTTCTCGATGGCACAGATTTTCGAGTTCGAGTCGGCAAGAGGTCATGGATGTTAGTAGTGGTTCGGAATCCACTTAAAACTGTTCGGTTTGGTTTGCCATTCTATGGTCATCTTGTGCACAAGAGGGATAAACAGACCGGGACCTACAGTTTTAAAGTAGATTCCGAACCACTACAAACATCCATGGCACCACCGGGACTCGAACTCTATGGTACCGAGCGCCAGAGCACTAGCCACTGGGTCATCAGGCTCCTTAGTGATATGAACCAATTTACAGAGATTAATCTATGTTAAAGGCAACAACAACCAGATCTGGTAATTTTCCTTGATGTAAAGTATGTTGCTGTATGTTGTTTATGTTAAAGTATGTTGCTGTGTGTGTAAAGTATGTATGTTATAGCTATTTCCACGCGTAAGGAATAATTCCACCTTTACCTTTGTAGTAGTCACTGTTATGCTACTCACAATACAGCGCCATATCATGTCGATGACCTTTAATGTAAGTCATGACTCAGGGTTCCTGTTTGACTTTTTGACGACTGTGACCCAATGTCCCCCTTCATGTTTTGTTGAAGCATTCCGCTATCATACATTACTGCGTAACAATAGCTTCGGTCTCTCCTATTACTGCAACGTACAATACCCCCACTTCAAAATAGATGCACGTATATCAGAACATCGGATATTAAATGATGAATTACCAACGCTCAGGCATGTAGCAATGGTTAGTGTGGATTTAGAATGGAATCTCTCTTCATACAGAAAATATAGAGACATTTAATGACGAATTGTTCTATTTGCAAGTATTGTTTAGTAAATAGTTCAATTTTTTATTAGTTTTATGAATCATTTAAAATGAATCGATATGAACAATTATTCTAAATTAGAAATTTATTAAGTATTAGAATTAGTTTACAATTGGACGATTATGTACTTAAGAACTAATCACAATAGTTTAAATGAAAAGTCCATTGTGACTAAAGAAAAGGTAGGGGCTGATGGCGGGTTGGCTAACACTGTCGGTACCACAGTTTTCGGGTTCGAGACCCGGCGGTACCATGGATGTTTGTATTGGTTCAGAAGAATCCACTAAAAACCGTTTGGTTTGATTTGTCGCTCTACGATCATCTTGTGCACACCAGGGCTGAAAAGACCGGGACCCCAGGAAAAAAGTGGAAACAATCACTGCTTGAAACATCCATTGCACCGCCTGGACTCGACCCCATGGGGGCCGTGGTACCGAAATCGTGCATGATTGTTTAATAAAAGCCTTCAATTTTGTTTTTCATGTAATTTGAATTTTGCTTTTAATCTCAAAATCAGTCAGTTGAAACGAGTCGTTCTAAATTAGAACATTCTTGCGTAAAGTTTTAGTGGATTTGATTTGTCGCTTTGAGCGATTATGCACTTAGGAAATAACCGGGACCTACAGTTTAAATGGGAATTCCGAACCACTAGAAAAATCCATGACATAATGGTGGAAACCCTAGACCTGTGTTCACGGTGATACAGGTTTCAGTGCTAGACACTCGGCTATCAGGACCCCAGTTTTCGTGATATGAATCAATTTACAAAGAATAATCTTTATTAATTATGACAACAACAATCAGTTCAGGTGACAATTTTCCTTGATGTAAAGTATGTTGCTTGTCTTGAAATGTTTGTTTATGTTGGCCCACCAGTATGTTGCTATGTATGTAAAGTATATATGTTATAGCTATTTAAATGTTATAAAAATACAATAATTCCACCTTTACCTTTAAATAGTCATCGTTATCTGTACTGCAACGTCCTATCATGTCGATGACCTTTAATGCAAAGTCACGACTCAGGGTTTATCTGTTTGACTTTGACGACTGTGACCCAATGTCCCTCCATGTTTTGTTCCGATGCATTGTGTCGAAATTTTTTGGAATAATCCTATTACTGCAACAACAAGTAGTAATCAAAATAGATGCAGTAGTATAATCGGAACATCGGATATTAAATGATGAATTACTTAACAATGAGGCATGTTGCAATGGTTAGTGTGGATTTAAAATGAAAAGTTATCTTCATACGGAAAATATAGAGACATTTAATGATGAATTGTCAATCTTACATTTTCTATATCCATGCATGGTAAAATAGTTCATATTTCTTTATTTATTTTGTGAATTATTTTTGCATTGAATGTGTTTGAACAATCATGGGAAATTTATACATTTATTTTAAGTATCATATTTAGTTTAAAATCTGAACGATTACGTACTTAGGAAATAATCGTAATCGTTTAAATGAATGCAAATATGACAAATGAAAATTTTTTTACCTAATATTCCAATGACTAGCGTTCTGGTTCTCGCTGACACAGGTTTTGAATTTTTTGTTCGACTGGGATATGGATGTTTTGTACATTCAGAATCCAAAAAAATTACTGATTGATGTACTCTATAAGGAATACAAATACCAGGTTACAGTAACTATAGAGAGTTGGGCGCGGCTATTGATCAATATTACCCCTAAAAGAAAAATTGTTTAATGGTCTTGAAATTTTACAAATTCATTTTTTTCACCATGGGGCTGTTGCGTCAATGAAGAAGAAAGAAGAAAAAATGAAATGTTACAAAAAAATAAAAAAAACTTTATATAATTTGCAATAATTTCTGTTGAAAATTAAAAAAATCATCTTGAGATGTAAGGGCTTTTCAAAGTGTATAGAAGGTAGGTGTTGCTATTTTATTTTGAAGGACTTTTATTATTAGTGTGCAATCGAAATTTTTTAAGGAATAATGGTTCGATTTTAAGTCCGTATAAACTGTTTTAAAAATCGAGTTTTTTTTATCAAGAATACTTGTCTCATTTAAGAAGTTCAGATTAATTTAAAAGCTATAAAAAGAAAAGATCTCAAAAAATAAAAAATTTTTCTGAAATTTCTATAAATTAAGTTAATTAAAAAAAAAACCGGACAGAATATTTTAGTTTATTTTATTCTTTATTATTGCTTGCGTTATTCGTTATTGCATGCGTATAGTATGCATTAAAGATTATGTATATACAATGAGTGTAAAAAGTATTCATACATCTTTATTTAAACTTAAATTGTTTGAAATTTCTTTAGTTCTTTTTATATAATTTTTAAATAAAGATAATTAAAAAACGAAAAAATATTTATTTTTTGTTTCACAATTTATTTTAATTAAAATTAATCGTTCACGTGATAGCTGATTTGATATTCAGTAGCTGATTTTGATTCCGTGTTTTGTTTTTTCCACACCTTTCTTGTTCAACAAATGCTTATCTAAGAAGATAAAATTTTACAAAAAATCCAAGTATGGTGAAATTTTTTTACTTTTTTGCAAAAAGCAAAGCATAGTTCATTTCTAAAGCAATCTCAACATTTTCTATTAGTACCCCCCTTGGTAATTTCTCGAATTCAGTGGGGAAACATCCAACATGTTGTTTTGAGCGGAAATTTTGTGAATAAAAGTAAAAAACATTTTTTTTTGTTAATCGACTCTGAACATATTTAAGACTGGTGAAAACAGACTTTGTCAATGAAATGACATATAAAATTGCTGAAATAACATGTAAACAATACATAACATAGAACACAAGTTTTATATGTTATTTAATTGATTTTATATTTTTAAACATAAATGCTAGTGTTAATACAACTTCATTCTTTTTGAATTATAAAATGCATATAGTTTTTCCAAAATAATGAAAAACATTGAAATATAAAAACCGTTTTTTTTTTTTTTTAAAAAGATAACAAAAAAAAAAAAATAATAAAACCTTAGTTATGACTGCCGTGTACTAATATTTAATGCATAGAGTAATGTTTGTGGAATGTCACTCACAGCTTTTGCTGCATTGAAACTACTAAACCACTGCGATGTTTTTACTTCTTTCAGCATCTGATTACTTCGTCCGTTCTTTCCTCGTTATTTTCATCTAAATTGTAGATTCGTTTTTTCTCTGAATTTGTTGTTTTCAAATACTGCTTGTAAAATTATAAGGCAGTAGAATTTGAT